AGATTGTTTTTGGGGGGGGGGGGTCCTTTACAAGATGTGCTACTCATGTGGTCATGTTCACAGTAGCTCGTCCCGATAAATAAGTGAATTTAAACAGGCAAGCATGACATCTTTTAACTATCAGTAGATGATCCTGAGCCTGCAAGTGTGATACGCAGAACAGTAGATTGTAACACAAATACCCCAAGCCAAGGAATTTCTTCCAGCTGCTTTGATAAAAGAATTCACAGTTGAATATTTTTTGTATTTTTCACTCCACCATTTTAATACTGCTTTCCACTCTGTAGCAGGGGTGGCCATGAAGACCCAGTGCTTCATTAGATAATTGCAGGCAAGAAACACCACCTTTCTAGAGTGAAGTGACACAGCACTGAACTAGAAGAGTTTTATCCCTGTAAACCCATATTAATCTATTTGAATGGAAAGAAAATATATAAAACAAACTCAGACTGTTATACACACCTTTAAATACATTGTTATAGATGAACCGTTAGGTGACTGACCTGTGAGCTGTTACTGTGGGGATGGTTCAAATTTGGGTGCCCCCTATGTGAGTTCTCCTTTATAGTAATCAGACCACATGGGTAGATGCAAGAAACCAATGTGAATACACATATAACTAATCACAAATCTGAACAATAATATAAGCAAAGAACCTGAAGCCTTCGATGAATCTTCAAGACCTTAAAATCTCACCTACCAGTAACACACAGACACAGGGCCTGCTTACCAAACACACACCCTAACTGACTACATAAGCAATCATTTCATTATTTTGCACTCATTTAATGACTCAGCGGAAGGAGAAAGCATGGATAGACTGTCATCATCTTTGCTCACTCAGCAAGCCCACACTGTCATCGATGGAAGCAGGAACTCCCATTTATCCCATACACACAACATTTTAAATAATGAGACATGCTCATTTCAATGATTGTTATCTATTGACTATTACAATAGGTCACCTACATATATTTCATCAGCACATCAACACAGGTCTGTAGGCTGAAGCACTGTTTAGTAACAGCATTTAATATTTGTTTGTTAAATATTAAAAGGTAAGGCTTAAAGGCTTAAAATCATATACATGCCTCTCAGTCATTTGGTTAAGCATATCTTGAGCAATGCTATCAAAATATTTGTACTCAACCTGATTGAGGCATCTTTATCGTGCTGCATGTTATTCCATAAAAAAAATCACTAATTATTACTGCAGTTTTCAAGAAAACACTACAGCTTTATTTGTATATATTCTATATGTCAAATGGTTTCATTTTTAGATACAATAATATTAGAATCTGTATTTTGTGAGGGTAGGCATAAAAATATTGCTCTGATTTAAAGAGAATATATTATACTTATTTTCTCATATTTATGCATACTAATACATAAGAAAATATATTTTGACTTTTGCACCATTCTAAAACTGAGAAAATCTCTTGTGCTCCTGTAAAGATTTACTAAGTTTAGCACATCACCTATAAAGGAGTGCAAATTAGATCTCACCTTTGTGAGGCGTAAAAAAACAAGCTATTCAGAAACCTAGATAGTTAGGGACAGATTGTCCAGTGGCAATGATATATACCTTAATGCATTAGCAAATCAAAATGCACATAGCATACATAGCAACTAGGTCAATTGTTGGCTTTAATGCATTTGCATATGGATCTATAAAAGGACAGGACAGATTATCATATGAATGATCAATGCAAATTAAGCTGTAGTCAGCTTCTGTTTGATCTGATAATCATAGATTGTCTTTATCTCGCTTGGTCTGCGTCCCTACTCAACAGTCATATAAATTTTGGACCCATGCTAAGTATATTTGTCAGAGACAAAGGCGTGTTTTTAGTAGATTTTTATTTGTACAAAACTTTTTTTGTACAAAATCATATAAGAAACATACTATGAATATCCAATATACTTTCAAAAATAAAATACGTGAACACTTGTTCCATTCTGCATGCTCACATCTCTAGAACATACACAAATCAATTCCCTTTAAATACTTCAAGTAATGCTTGTTCAATAGCTTAGTGGCTCATCATGAGTCAGTACAGGCATGTGAACCATCACCCCCCACCACCCCTTTGAGATGGATGCCTGTAGACAATAACTCCACGTGAGAAGCGGAGCCATCAGCACATCCGGAGGTGAATACAGTGGCGACAACACATCATGATCAGGTCAGATCATTGCAAAAGTCAGTAATGTAAACACGTGGACCTCTAGAACGGAGTCACAATGTACAAACACAAACGTTTATACACACACACACACACATTCTCTCACACACACACACACATTCTCTCACACACACACACAGTCTCTCACACACACACACACACACACACACACACACACACACACACACACACACAGAGTCTCCAGGCTCGTTCTGGTATCCAGAGTAAGTGGATGAAGCGTGTTCCTCCAGGATTCAGTATTTGAAGATTACTCAGACAGAGGCACTGAGAGCTGGATGAAAGTCTTAAGTAGGCCTGATCTCTCTTTCAGCAGTTTCAGAGGTTTAAGAAGCACCGTTGCTGGACTAATTCGCCACAACACGGGAGCGCATCCAATCTAGACTGGCTGGTAAGCTGTAGAGGGAAGAGAAAGAGGTGGGTGCACATTAAATACACAGGCTTTCACTCAGATCAGGGACTTGGAAACATTTTAAACAAGCCAAACACTCAGGTAAACATACACACTCCTAGAAAACACACATACCCTTCTCCAGTGAGTGCGCAGCAGGCCTGGATGTGCCAGGAGCGAGCGTTGAGCGAGCTGAGAGTCAGACTCTGAGAGATCTCTGCAGCAGACATGCTGTTCTTCATGTCCTGCTTATTCGCCAAAATCAGCACGGATGCATTCTGCAGATCCTGTGGGGACACACAAGGAGGAGAAGCAATGGAATTAAACTGTCAACATTAAAGAAGAATGTTTTAAAAGAGTTAAGACTATGGCTAGTTTCACTTGGGCTGGTCTAACCCAACCCTGAAAGCCTGATTCAATCATTTGTTTGCATATTTAAAAAGTCCCTAGATGACATTTTAATCACATGTTAAAATGTTGTCAATAAAATATGTTTGTTATATTGGTGAATATAAATGAAAAAAAAAAAAATAATACAAATGAAACAACATTCTTTCATGTCCATTTAGTGAAAAAACAACATCATGGGAAACAAGCGTTATTTGCATGGTTTTATCACAATTTGAAAGTATTTTACTATCAAATAGGCTATGGTTTCTCCTGATATGGATTATGGTTTCTCTGATTGGAAACAATGCCTTTTTAAGTAGAGATATTATTTTGAATCAGGGAGATTATTGTTAACTAAAACTACTAAAAACATTTTTTTTAAATAAATTATATAAAAAAATTAAGCTGAAATAAAAATAAAACAAATATTTGATGGAAAACAAACGAAATAAATTATAAATGTTGCTTTGGCAACTAACTGAAACAAGTTTAAGTTGACGCACTAAAATTACTAACTGTAAATAAAGTAGCTACAGATAAAACTGAAATAAAGATAAATTAACCCTAAATAGTAATAATAAAAAAAAGAGGAAAACATTTTATAAAATGACAAAAGCACAACAAAATTACAAAAAATGGAACTACAATTAGAACTTAGAAACATAAGAAACAATTCAAAATATTGATAAAAAAATATATAGTTACACTGTTTTGAACATACTCAGTCTAAACAAATAAAATCACGTAAAATAAATAAACATTTTTATTAAACCCAGACTCTGATACTACACATTCAAAGTGCATGAAATACCCATCATGAAATATTCATAACAACTGAGTCATGCAGCAGCTGAATGCAAACTAACCTCATGTGCAAGCATGCGATGAAGCTCCTCTTTAGTTACAGTCAGGCGTTCTCGATCAGTGCTGTCAACCACCAGGATGACAATCTGTTACGTTTAGAGAGGCAGATTATACATTTTATAAAGACTATAAAGTTGGTAATAATATATTGTATCTGCCTCTAAGCAGTAGGGAAAGAACAATCATGAGAGTTTTACATATTTCCGGTCACATTAGCAAGGCACGCAGGTTAATGACACACACCTCTGTGTTACAGTAGTACGAGTTCCAGCTAGCTCTGAGACTCTCCTGACCACCAATGTCCCAGACGAGGAAGCGTGTTTTCTTTACAGCAATTTCCTCTACGTTGCTGCCAATTGTGGGAGAAGTCTGCACCGCTTCTTTAGTTAAACTGGAAGGAACACAGTGAACAAGGTTCAAAAGCTGAGTGGAAACAGGTAACATGTAATAACAGACTGACAAAAGTCATGTGCTTCTCCTGTTTATGCTTTCAAAAAGAAAAACACTTACAACTGGTAGAGGATGGTGGTCTTCCCGGCATTGTCCAAACCGACAATAATTACTTTGTGTTCTAAAAAGAGAGAGAGAGAAAAAAAAGAGACGTTCTAATCCGACTTTGTTTAATCTATTCTGTATGACAGTGTCAACTGATAACATCAACCTGATTAACATACACGCAATGCATTTCTAAGAACACAGTGTTCAGTGATCTATATCTGTTTGGGTTTAACAAAGTTCAGAAAAGCTGGGTAAATTGGTCCAGAATACCTACAAGTAAGCAAAACGCCTACGATCTTTGAACCTCACTGGCATGTACAATCTTATCGTGTACAGACAGAACACAGACTTGCATAAACATATGTATTTGTCAATGACATGTTATTAGGGCCACTAAACTGGGCTTTTAACACTCGAAACCTGGGTCAGTATTAACCCTGGGTAATCTTGTTTCACATTTCATCCTGTACTTTTCTAAGGTTGAAAAAATTTACACTGTACATTTATAAACATTCTGGATTAACCTTCTTACTTGGCTATTTATTAGTTCAGTAGCATTGACTGGACTAAAAGTACAAATATGAACTTATTATTCATATGTGAAAGTTTTGAGTGTTAGACATTTTAAATCTGAAACACGCAGTAAAAACAAGTTCGAGTAATTAGTGTCGCCGTTAGACAGATTAAACAACGCGTGCAAGTTTTAGAAAACAAACCAAGCTAATGAATATTTAATGAATACGAGCGGAGGACGTTTATGATTGGTTGTATGTTACTAAACAAAATCGTAATGCGGAGTTAGAAGAGTCGACCGTCTTACAAAATGACAAATGTGGAACAATGTTCACAATGGCCTTTATCCGGAGTTTGAAAACACGTTAACCATTAAGAACTCAAGAGTATTAGTAAAAGCCCCGAAGAGAACAACATGTTAAGTTTCTCAAAAGCCAGGACAGAATGTTACCCGGTTCATGTTCTTGTGACTGAAAACAAGTAAACCATCTTGACTACAATTATAATAACGAGACCACTTTAAAATCATATTAAATGTTGCTAAAATACAAAATCATAATAATAACAAACATAAAACCACATCCTTTTTAAACTGGCTTACCTCTGTCTCCGAACACAGTCATCAGTTTGGCGAACAGAAGCCCCATCCCCGAAGGCAGTGAGTTTAAAAGGCCGGTTTTGTCAATCTCTCACACAGAGTTTTCTGAATTCGCCGAGCGCTGGAGTTAAGTCGTTCTTCTGGTTCCTTTGATTCTTTAAATCTGGGTTGTAAATACTTTACTACGTTAAAACAATGATCCAACGAACGATAGTATTGCCCTTTTGCTTGTTGCTCTTTATTCTCAAACAGATGCCAGAATTTATGGTCGAAACGTTAGGGGATTCTTTCCCTGAGTGTCTGTGGTTTAATCGTCTGGTGTCTGTCTAATCTGCTCCGATACAGTAACCCGGGCCGGAGTACGGAGTCTCGTCGTGTTTTTCGTGGGCGTCTGCACTCCGCGCATTTAAACGACGAGGGATGACGCAGAGGCCGCGTCACGCGTTTCAGCGGTAGATTAAACGACAAACCCTCGTTGGACGCCCATGGCGATGACGCAGTTTTCCGTACCGTTCCTTTTATTCGTATTTGGAACGGGGCGGGGTGTTCTTCGACAGCGCGGCGTTTTATTTTCGCATTACAGGGGAATTTGAGAGGAAGTTTAATGGAACTCTTAATCAGAAAGTAAAAGAGAGCCCAAGGAATTCCCTGGACTCTCTGTAAACTAGTTTCTGTCACATGATCTTCTTTCTGATATAAAATCAGATATTGTCTTATATAACTGACTCAAATCAATAACCTTACTCGATATTTTCTTCAGACCTCAGTGACCTGTGCGATTCTTTATCAACCCTTATACAACCAGAAATCAATCACAGACAGAACAAAACACCAACCAAAACAATATTATTGACAGTAGTATATTGATTTGAAATGTTGAACTTCAAAAAACAAAATCAAATATAGGCTATGTGACCCTGGACCACAAAACCAGTCATATAGGTCAGTTTTTTTTTTAATTGAGATTTATACCTCGTCTGAAAGATGAATACATAAGTTTTTTTCTATTGATGTATGGTCTGTTAGGATAGGACAATATTTGGCCGAGATACAATCATTTGAAAATCTGGAATCTGAGGGTGAAAAAAAAAAAAAAAATGTTGAGAAAATCACCTTTAAAACTTATGACTGGTTTTGTGCTCCAGGGTCACATATTATCACCAGAATATAGCAAGTAATGAAACCACATCGTTTCCATAATGTCATGTGTTCTGCTCTTTCTGTTCCTCTTGATGTGATCTGAGCATGAGTTTCCTGTTGTCACTGTTCTTCTAAGAGTGTTGAGCTGAATCAGGCTTCTTGCACACCCACACCTGAGGCCTTGTGTTTACACAGAATGAGTCTGTGTTTTGAACACTTTGGGTATAGCCGACTTAAATGCCATGGTATGCGAAATAATGTGACACATTGTGAGAACATCTGCTACAGGAAGAACAGAAGCATGCAACGCACAGAGTGCATGCAGATCAGCGTGCAAATGCACGAGCGTGGTTAAGTGTCATCCGCACGTCTGGGCAAGAATTGTGTAAAGTCTTGTTGTGGTGTGGTGTTTTTTCATGTACCACCTGTGAACAGAAACCGTTGTTGGTTCAGGTGAAGATGTTTGTGTTCAGACAAAAAGAAGGAAGAAAATATATCTTATGCATAATCACAAATTCCAGACAATGCAATCATATTTTGCATGTTATGAAAGAAATATAATAATGAAAATTGTGTCATCATTTGTTCCAAACCTATATGAACCAAACAGCAGCCACTGACTTCCATAGAATTGAAAAATAAATAAATAAATACCATGGAAGTCAATGACTACTGTCAACTGTTTGGCTACCAACATTCTTCAAAATATCTTCCTTTGTGTTCAACAGAAGAAAGAAACTCATACAGATTTGCAACAAGTGGAGAGTGAATAAATGATGACATAATTTTCATTTTTGGGTGAACTATCCCTTTAAGACGGTTTGATCAGAAACTTTGCATGATCAGCATGTAATATACAGTTGACTCGTGTGAATTCAGGGGTTCGACTGTAAACCAGGATTAACCCATAAATGAGAGCTGATAGCCATCTTTTCAATTCTTCCTCGTGCCCCGCTGTCTCTATCCTGCATTGTTTCCTCGCTCCTTCCTTTTTGTGTTCTTCCTGACCCCCCACCACCACATACTCTTTCTCACCCTGTCCACCCCCATCACTTCACACCATTACCTCTGAATTCAGGGGTTCGACTGTAAACCAGGATTGCCCCCATAAATGAGAGCTGATAGCCATCTTTTCAATTCTTCCTCGTGCCCCGCTGTCTCTATCCTGCATTGTTTCCTCGCTCCTTCCTTTTTGTGTTCTTCCTGACCCCCCACCACCACATACTCTTTCTCACCCTGTCCACCCCCATCACTTCACACCATTACCTCATTCCCCTCTATTTATCACTTCACTTTGCCATCCCTTCTTCTCGTGTTTCTCACAAGTCCCTATTGGATCTATACCAGTGGTTCTCAGCCTTTTTGTCTCAACGAGGCTCCAAAACGATATTTTAAGGCCTCCCCTGCATATACGCTAACATACTTCTGGTATCTCTGTTGTAATTAAGACAAAATTGCTTTTTTCATACTTTTTTATTGATATATTAAATGTATAAATGTGGCTAATTAGGTAAACATATTAAAAATACATAATATTTTATTTTGAGTATATTTAAAATTTCATATACCAAATTACGGAACCATTATAATTCCCAAATTTATATTCGGTATTCAAGAACTGTATGTTCTTCAATAAAACAAAAAGTTATTGAAGGAAAATAAAAATTAATTTGTTTTCAGCTTACATCTTGATTTTTTTAGCATTTTAATTTGGATTGGAGTTTTATTATTTCATTATATTAATTTATAACGAAAATTTCATATACCATATTACGGAACCATTATAATTCCCAAATTTATATTCGGTATTCAAGAACTGTATGTTCTTCAATAAAACAAAGTTATTGAAGGAAAATAAAAATTAATTTGTTTTCAGCTTACATCTTGATTTTTTTAGCATTTTAATTTGGATTGGAGTTTTATTATTTCATTATATTAATTTATAACGTTAACTCATTTTAAGTCATCCTTGGATGGTCACTGAGGCCCCCTGTTTGAGAGTTACTGATACTTTTCATCCATATTTATCGGTGACTAAATGAAATGAAAATAGCAAAGGCACAGGAAACAGTTGATCCAGATTAAAATTTTTAATTAAAATATGAATTTATCCACAGATTAAAACAAAAAGTAAAATGGAGCTACAATCAGGCACCAAAGAATACGTCTGTTTTCCTTATATTTTGAAACAATTGCAATAATGCAACAATAACATTATTTAGTAAGCTATCTACTTGTATATTTAGTGAATTTCATCATGATGATCTTTTCAAACATAGGTGAGGGTAAAAAGAGGCTCCAAGGCTCAGGTTACATAAAATAGTAAAGACTCCAGATTTTCTCCCATTTCATACACACACACACACACATACAGTCCTGGCTTAGAAATTGGCCACAGAGACAACAACACAAAAAGCAGTAGCATTAGCATGAATTTGGCAGTGGGATATGTGTATGTACGTCAGCTTCTCAGCCTGTGAAGTGAATCCTTAAACTGTCATGCAATAAACAGCTTGTTTAATCTTCAAATGGCTAGCAGTGCAAACATGTCGCTATGATAAGGTAAAATGGCAGTGTAGACTACTATCACACAACAACAGCAACTACAGGTACATCTAAAAAAAAATTGAATATCATGAAAAAGGTCAATATTTTTTGTCACTCATTTCAGAAAGTGAAACCCATATATTATATAGATTCATTACATATAGAGTGAAATATTTCAAGCCTTTATTTCTTGAAATTTTGATGATTATGGCTTACAGATAATGAAAACCCAAAATTCAGTGTCTCAGAAAATTAGAATATTGTGAAAAAGTTCAATATTGGAAAGTCATGGTGTCACACCCTAATCAGCTAATTACCTCAAAACACCTGCAAAGGTTTCCTGAGCCTTTAAATGGTCTCTCAGTCTGGGTCAGTAGGCTACAGAATCATGGGGAAGACTGCTGACTTGACAGATGTCCAGAAGACAGTCATTGACACCCTCCACAAGGAGGGTAAGCCACAAAAGTTCATTGCTAAAGAAGCTGGTTGTTCACAGAGTGCTGTATCCAAGCATATTCATAGAAAGTTGAGTGGAAGGAAAAAGTGTGGTAGAAAAAGGTGCACCAGCAAAAGGGATAACCGCAGCCTTGAGAGGATTGTCAGGCAAAATTCATTCAAGAATTTGGGGGAGCTTCACAAGGAGTGGCTGTAAGCCATAATCATCAAAATTTCAAGAAATAAAGGATATATATTGAAAATATTGAAATATTTCACTCTATGTGTAATGAATCTATATAATATATGGGTTTCACTTTCTGAAATGAGTGATAAAAAATACTGACCTTTTTCATGATATTCTAATTTTTTGAGATGTACCTGTATGTGTGTTGCACTGAGTTAAGACAACCCACCATGTTTATGGTGGGAGTGGCCTGATGAGAGATTACGGCACTTGTGATTGGTTGGCCTGTGTGACTGACGTGCAAATAAGGCAGAATATGTTTCCAATGGCAGTGGTACACTAGCGGCACAAATGCTAAAAGCCCTTGAGCAGGCACAGAAGACGGGACAGAGCCGGTTACAATCAACACAAAGCCATTTTAGCGGTGGTCTCAAACATTTTGGGCTTTTAGTTCTAAAATTTGACCCTCTTAATTTTCTTATTTATATTTGCATATTAGCCTTTTAGAACTGCTAGCGGATCTGGATTAACATCTGTTATGCTATTAAACTATAGCATGTGAGCACCACAGCACCCCTTGTGGACTGGAGGAATACACAGCAGCGGTGGAGCTCGGTAAAGGTTTTAGCAGGCTAAAATCTGGATAGATCTTTCGAGACTCAATAAATAAAATAAATAAAATCAAATACGAAACAAAAACACGCTCTGCAGTAGTGTAGTCTGGGAAAACGAATCGGTGGATCACTCCCAAGACTACTGTGTATCAGAAAGACCCTGTTTAAGACTACAGAGGATGCACACGCGCGCACACATACGCACTCGACCACCGAACCATACGAACGCACACATACGCTTGCAAGATTTTGGTTATACATTCTGAATCGTGTTTAATGCTCAGCGAGAACAGTTACTAACCTTATAATGATTAGGAGTCATGCAGTACTATACAAAAGTAAAATAGACATGAAGAAAGGTTCTCCTGCTTATTCTCCTCAAAAAACAGATTTAAACTAAATTAAGGTGACCAGATGTCTTTATTTTCCCAGACTTGTCCTGGCAAGGATTTCTGAAGTCAGACTCCGATATTTTGGCTTCATTCTATCATTCCATCCAGTCAGAGGATATCAAACACATTTGATATTTTGAGCCAATTAAAAAAAAAAAAAAACCTTTTCATTTGTTATGCGCCTGCTAGCAACAATGTGCGAGTTTCTGAGTTTGTTGGGATCAGAACGACTTGAAAATCTGGTAGTGTGTGATCCTTAGTTGTCCAATATATGATGCCCGGTTTTTCCTCTGTAACTATTTACAAAGTTGCCAAGTCTATGACGCTTAGTGTTTTAAAATCTGTTCAGATTTTAAAAGTTGTGTAGTGTATTCAAGCCTTTATTTAATAAATAAATGTCATTTCTTTTTTATTTACTTTATTTACTGTTTTTAGAAATCCTGGCCAAACCGATAGCCTCGTGGTTAGAAGCGCAACTGCTCTCACGGCGACCCGAGTTCGATTCCCGCCTTGAGGTCCTTTGCCGATCCTGCCCCCCTCTCTCCACCCAATACTTTCCTGTCATCTCTCAACTGTCCTCTCACAATAAAGGCATAAAAATCCCATAAATATAACTTAAAAAAAAAGAAATCCTGGCCAAGAAGAAAGCCTTTCTGAGAAAAATAGGACATGTGGTCACCATCAAATATGTAATGACCGAGAGCTTTGTTAGCGTAATGCGAATGTCGTGAGTGTTAGCTGTACAGCGTTAGTCAATGACTGTGTGTTTCTCTGGGTTGTAAACAGATCCAACTATAGAGATTCTATTTAGTGTCACTCTAAACAACTCTTCACCCTCGTCTCAAGTAAACCTGCTCTAGCGAATGTACACATCTCTGCTCCACTCCTCCTGGTTATGGTTGCGGCCCGTCGTCGCTCCGCCTCCTTCTGCGTCTTGAGAGTAGCGCTCCCTCAGCTTGCCTCGTCCACGCTGGTGCTGACTGACTGGTGGTGGGACCATGTTGAGGTTCTCCTGGTCAGGCTCCGCCCCTTCGTCCTCCCAGGAGGCCTGGCGAGGAGCGTGGTGGGCGGGGTTCAGACGGTACGAGCGACACGGGTCCGGCTCCTCGTACGGGTCGGTCTCCATGTCGTCAGTGTAGGCAGAATCGTGGCTGCCCTGCGTCTCGGAATCGAACGTATCCTGCCGCGACAGACCTCGGCCGCCGGTTTGCAACTGGCTGCGTGAAGAGCGCAGCGGCTGCTTGCCACTCAGGTCGCTCTGGTAATCTTGGAGACTGCCACGTTCAGGCCCTTCCCTCTTCTGTTCTCCATGCACCAGGAATGGCCCCTACAGCAACCCCAAAACACACCACAACATGCCAATGCAGATGCACACACACACACACACACACACACACACACACAAAACAGAGCACAAAGCATGTTAATACAAAGGTTAGAGGTCAGCTTTTTAACCTTACAAGTTATTTCAACACATCCCAAGCAATACTATAACCTCAATAACAAATGGCATACATAAAATACATTCTTCACTCATGCTATTATGGGAAAAGGCCATTTTGGTAGTGAGATGCCAGGGCTCATAGTATTTTCTAAGTGCAATCTACACATTTTATAAAATGCAATTTTAGTATGTAATCATTAATAATTCTCTTGCTTTACTTTAAAATACCTTAAAATACCGTTTTGATTTTCAAAAACAATAGAAAGTTAAATGTATCTGATAAACTGCAGACATAAACGCACACCATGCACGTAATGTAAAAAAATATTAATCATAAGCGCCCTCTAGTGGCCATATCAAACACATCACACAATAAATAGAGCTCCTTTCAACATTTTTAGTGATGATTCAAAAATATTGGGCTAGATTAGCTCATATTAGATCATCTAAATTAGATCAGTCATCTTTGGAGCTAAAACGCATCTCATATTGCAACCCTCTTCTGAAAAAAATGATGTACAAAAATATTGCCCAAAATGTTTTATATTTATTTATCTTTTTATCATCCAAGTTATATTTATATTTTTAATAGTAATAATATTATA